AACAATTCGTAGATCATTTAATTTTCTCCAAGGCATATTATCTGCAATAAACAAATAACCATATTAGTAAATACCGACAACAATACTAGTAATATATATATATTCGACGAAATCAACTTATATAAATGATAACATTATAAATTACTCAATTAAGATATAACATCTAACTACATTGTTATGTCATTCCAACATTCATAAATATCTTCATCCATGTAATCTCGGACCCATTGAAATTCTGAACTAGTACCAATAATAGGTTCATCTAAATTTTGTTCTACAAAAGGCAAAGTTTTTTATCTTGTTTCTATGTCATTACTTGGATTAAAGCATATGTCCCATATACTTGGAAACTCATGTACATTAGCTACTGTGAGCGCAATCATAAATGGCACTGGCTCAGTTGGGGCAGCTCTCGGGCCCCTTTTAGTTGGGTATATATCTACTAGGGGTTGGAATAGTGTATTTTTATGCTAACTTTTTCTATATTCTTAGCTAGTTTATTCTTGATTCGTATTGCAAAAACTGAGATTGGAAGTATGGTAAATGAGGGGAAATGGCTTCTGAGTAGTGTGACTGCAAGTAGATACAGTTTCTCAAGGCCTCGGAGGCTCGGACTGTTTAGAGTAACATCTTATTAGGATACATCGTTTGCTGTTAAAAGTTTTATTTTCCTTACACCTAAAGCTCTATTGTATTTCATTCTTTTATACACACAATCTTCAATTCACATATACAAGAGAATTTTTGTATCAGAATGAACTTTGCTCATTTTACCCATACCAGATCGAAGTTTGTACTCTCAATAATCTTTTTATATAAATAAATTACATTTCTAGTTATATTTTTTGTGTGTAGTATGTATCTATAACTACCAAGTCCTATCTTTTGCATCTTGCATCCCAGATATTCCCTACAAGTTACGGGAAGATCTCTTTGGGAGCCATCTTTAGCTCACAGGTAAGATTATCAGCTTCTGTAACCTTGAGAATCAGAGGATAGCCAAAAAGATGGCAATTAAACTGTCAAAAGCTCAATATCAGCAGAATCAAGAGGATAAAATGTGTGCAAGAATATATCTTTCTTTAAAAATTGTACAGTAACAGACTTATTTTTTTACAATCAATTGTGTTCCTCAAATTATCCTACACTTCATTAGAAGGTGATAAGAATGGCCAGGAAAGAGAATGTATATACAACAAGATCTTACTAGAACAGCAAAGTATTAATCAGTAGCTTCCGACCTATGTGTACCATGCGTTGAATGTAAACAAATGTAGCATAGTTCTATCCTTCTAAGAAGCTTTTGAGACTCTGAAGCTCCTCTTTTGAAATTCACAGCAAAATTAGTTCCAAAAATTTCAAATATATTTCATTTACACCCTTAAGTAGCACAAGATACCCAAAGCAAGAATGAGGTAAATCTTGAAATTCTTATAATATTTAACAAGATTTTATTAAAAATTTGAAATACTAAAGGATGATTTCAAGAACCAAAACAAAATATGCAAGAAAACTGATTTCAATGATGCAAGAAATTTGAAAAATGGATGATGCTCTTACATTTGTTACTGTCGCCGATGGAAGAAAATTGATGTTGGTGTCGGCTAGGAAGAAGGAACAATCATGCAAAATGAAATTTGATTTTAGAGGTCGGTGGTGCAAGGAAAAGCAGAGACTCACGATGTGAGTTGAAGAGAGAATGGTGTTCAACCTTGACGGCGGTAGTCTCGCGACGGTGTTCAACGACGTGATAGTGGAGGTGACGACGGCTTCGAACGGCAACGGGAAACACTTGTTTTGTGCTTGTAATTTGTCTGGGATAATTGAAAATAGGTAAAGAAACATATGGAAAGGGGGAAATGGTTTCGCAGGATTAAAGATATCACCTTAGCGGCGTTCGTAAATTCAAAAGCCATAACATACCACAAATTGATGAGACTAATGCGGCGTTTATTAAAAAAAGCCACAAATTACGTACCTATTGTTACGTTTGTAAATACAAACGCCAGTATATGTTCAGTCTATTGCGGTGTTTTTTTATAAACGCCACTAAAGGGTATGGGACGAAAACAATTGTGGCATTTGTAAAAATAAACGCCATGATATGTTTAACATATTGCGGCATTTTATTCGTAAAAACACCACTAAAGTATGAGTTTGTAGCGGCGTTTATCTAAAAACGCAGCAAATGTTACTATTTTGTGGCGTTTTGGCTATAAACGCTACTATATGTGTAAAGTTAGCAGTGTTTTCTATAAAAACACCGCTAACAATGCGTTTATAGACCTATTTTGTTGTAGTCCCTATTACGGCGTTTGTGTAAAAACGCCGCTAAAGTACTACTATTTTGCGGCGTTTCTATAAAAACGTCGCTGGAGTACTACTCTGTCACGACGTTTGTTTAGAAACGCCACTATGGATGAACCAATTGCGGCATTTGTATAAAAACGCCGCTAAAGTACTACTCTATTACGGCGTTTTTTGAAAAAAAATGCCACTATAGATGAACCTTATTGGCATTTTTATACAAATGCCGCTAAAGTACTACTCTGTTGCAGCGTTTTGTATAAAAACACCGCTAAAGTTACCATTTTGTGGCGTTTGGAGTGTAAACACTGCTATATGTTTAAAGTTAATGGCATTTACTCTCAAAACGCCGCTAAAAAAGCCGCTATAGAACATTTTTGCTGTAGTGCCACCTAACTATTGTCCCTTTTTGTTTTAACCATCATTTTTGAAAATTTGTCAATCATGTCACTCAAGTACTATTTACATGCATTAAATAAAACCACTTATCATTAATATTTAACGAATGTGGCAGTTAAAATATTTGGTATAATTACACTTTTAATTAATATTACTTATATATTCTATCAATTTGTCTTTATTTTAATAAATTAAAATAAATTTAACCCTCAAATATGCCAAAGTAGTTAATTAGAGAGGAATCCAATTTAATTCTAGTCAGTACAATTTTTCTTTTCTCTTTATCGGCTTTTATTATTTATAATAATAAAGAAAAATAAACATGACAATATTTTGTGATGAGACGTGCTAACATTTCTCCATGTTCTTCTTTTTTTTTAACTTAAAATATTATATTTTACATTGATACAAGCAAGACAATTAATGTGACAAATTCATGTGTATGAATTGTATCTTTCAATGATTTTAGGAATATAAATTAGATGTTTTATTTTGTAACTACTTTTAGAACATTTGTTTAAAAATATTTATTTTTTATTACTAAGCTATCCAAGTATTATAACTTTACTTCTACCCAATTTGTCGCATTGTAAGTAAAATCAAATTGTTTTGGATTAATTTTTAAGAGTGTAAATTTTGATTTGACTTAATATAGATGTATTTTTGAAATCAAAGCGTTTGATATTTAATTTTTTTTAATTTCTCAAAAGTGAAATCAATTTTTTAAGTTTTATTTTATTTTCTTTCTTGTTTGTTTTCCTACGAATTGAAAGAATAAGATGAATAAAGAATACTTTGGCACCATTTGATTTGAGGGTTAAGTTTATTTTAATTTATTTAAATTAGGGCCAAATTGATAAAATATATAAGTAACATGGACCAAATGTATAATAATATCAAATATTTTAACTGTTACATCAGCTTTTCCGCTAAATATTAATGGCAAGTGGCTTAATTGAATGCATTTAAATAGTTGAGTGACTTGATTGACAAAATTTCAAAAAATGGTGGTCAAAATAAAAAGGGGTAATAGTTAGGTGGTCATTAGTATTGTTTACATTTTAATTTAAATAATTTACCTTTAAATTTTCAAGTAATTTATAATTATACCTTGAGCCCTTTAGAATCTTAAATTTTTATAAATTAAATTAATAGTGTTCATCTTTAGTGGTGGTCATCGATACTCGTCGAGCGTTGTAGAATTTTTCTTACGATTTTATGTAAAATTACAAAGAAATAACCATCGAACACCATCACAATTTCATTTCTCTCACAACAAGATCAAAATGTAATAAATTAAAAATATTATTTTTTAAAAAATATATATAAAGTAATATGATGAAATTCATAACTAAAACCTTAAAAATACATATAAACCATGTTTTCTATAATAAAGGTATATCAAGATCATATGGGTTAAAATTATTTATTTATTTAAAAACTTTTAGTTTTTTTCCTTGCCATCTTTAATCTTTCTTCTTTTCATCTTTATGAACGGAGATTACATTGATTTTGACTGTGATTGCTTCTCGTCGGTATTCATTATTTTTATTTTATTCTATCGTATCTTTTTTCAATAATTTTATTTTTACGGTATATTTTGACACGTTTTTTTTTGTTTTTGGTACATTTTCGATCATCTGATTGTTTTTTTCGTTATCCTTATTCTTATGATGAGATTTAGATACATGATTTGATATCATATTGATTTTTTCTGATTTAGACTCTTATATTGGATTTAGATATATGATTTGTGTTTGTGCATAATTTTTTTACGTCATTTGACTCTGATTTGTGATTTGTTAGTGCTCTTTCAATAATGTGATCCTTTTTTATGGTCCATTTGTTGATACAATCAGATTTATTCGTATCTATCATTGTCTGATTTTAAGTAACTAGTTTCTTGTGTTAATGATTATAGAAAAAATATTATTATTATGTATTTAAGTTGACAATAAACGCTAAATTACATTTACATTCATTGATGATCCAACTCGTAATCTTTAAGAATAACAACTATTCTTTAGAGACTAAATAATTTGATTCGTCGTCAGCCCCTCGTCCGCAAGACAAAGTTGAGATGGAGATGGAGATCGGTTAAGAGACGGATGACTACCACCACTCATTCCCTCAATCATAAAACCCTTATTTTCCTTTTCTGTGCCTTTCCTTCCATTTGCTTTCTTTCTTCGCCTTCCCTTCCTACCCATATTTACTTTGCTATTTTCCTTTTCTCTACCTATTAGACTAGACTTGTCATATCATATTTATTTTTTGTACATTTCTCAAAATCTCTATAACTAATTCATATAAAAGACGATCAAAACCCAATAATTTTATTGTTCTTTGTCGTCCTAGCTATCTTCCCTTTGTTATCACTATTCCCCTTTCTCCTCTTCATCAATTCTTCAACCTTGATCCATTTTATTCTTCTTTTCCTTTCTTTGTTCTTGGGGTATATTATTTAGTTAGTAGAAAAAGAGTACTTGAGAAAGAAAAAGAAAAGAAAATGTCAATGGACTTGACATCTGAACGTGTTTGGTACGTTCACTGCAACTTCTGCAACACCATTTTAGCGGTAAAGCACTGATTTCCATTACTGTATATATATATATATATATATATATATATTTCTTTATCTGTTTATACTTTTTCCCCTTCATGTCTTTCTTTTTTGTTAAAAAGGAGTTGAATTTTCCATGTCTGGATTGTTTCAGTAGTGTTTACCCTTTTGCCAGCTGAAATTATTTTTGGTTGTTTTTATGAAGAACAAAGTGGGAGATTTTTTCTTCGATTTAACTCGGAAAATGCCTTTTTTCTGTAAAAAGAGAAGAATCCACTTAACTATCATTTTTCATGGTTCATGGATCTGGCATGAACAAGAAAATGAAAGCTTGGACAGATGATTTTAATTCAACTTTTGAAAGTGAAACAAAAACACCCAAAGACTTGTTATGGCCATAAAATTGCTTTTCCTAGAGAGCTAAACAGGCAGGCTTGGCTTAGGGTTCTAACTTCTTAGGGAGAAATCATGGGGTAGCCAACCAGCCATAAAGTTTTTTCCCAGGACTGTTAAGCAAAACCCTTTTGAAAACCAACAAGAAAACGAATTTAAAATACAAGATCCTAAACACCGAACAAATTAAGTAGTCCGTAAATCAATAACCATTTATGTATTCTATCTTTTTCTCTTTATTCAATGACATTCTTTCATAGCTTTGGCCTGCCCTTTATTGTTTCCGTTCCGGTCACGTTCTTTTCATCTCTCTCTCTCTCTCTGATATATATATATATATATATTGGTTTTTTCTTTTATGATCGTGGTTGCGGTGTCAGGCTGAAAAAAGTCAGGCGCACTGAAACGAAAGCAGATATATTGGAGAGAGGTCCTTTTGACTGCATGTTTTCTCTTCTGTTTCACCTTTTGATTTGTGTGTATATAGCAGATCTAGGACCTGGTATTTAAATTGCATTTACCATCGCGTTTTCGGTTACGATTGTGGCGAGTGCTATTGCATTCATTGTGGGTATTTCGGTAGTGCAATAATAATCTCGGACGGCACCGACCGCTATTCCGATAGCATAATGTCATTTAAATCCCCGCTAGGAGCTTTGTAAGGAAAATGTCTGGGATCTAAACAGATACGAGGGTTGTGACTTTGACTTTTCAATTAGGGTTTGTTTATGTTTCAGCAGTTTCAACTCTTTGTATGATCAAGAGAGAAAGATAGGGTTGGCCTGATTTGCTGACAAAGTTCAAAAGCTTCAGACATTGTTGCATTTTACCAGTTCTGTGTAGTAACCATTAACATTTTTCAGAAATGGTAACCTTTTATGCAGGTTAGTGTTCCAAGCAACAGCATGTTCAATCTGGTGACTGTTAGATGTGGGCATTGTGCCAATCTGCTGTCTGTAAATATGGGAAACTCTCTTCAAACAGTTCCCATTCAAGCTACTCTGGTAACCTTTTACATATACACATTTTCATTTTTTTAGTGATCAAATAGCATATTATTTAGGCATAATGTAAGAAAAAAATTAATATAATGTTTTATTTATTAAATAGTTATTTTGACGCTAATTAATTTTAGTAGTATTTTGACATACTGTTTATTTTAAGACAAAAAACAGTAACATTTGTTTAAATAGTTAATTTTAATCCTTATTCTTTTATTTTTTTGAGTATTTTAATCCGACCTTTTTATTTAAGGGAAAAGGGGCATCTACTTTTTGGAGTGTTGATCGTTTCTTGACTAATGTTTTCTATTCACAGAGAAAAAAAATTCATCAAAAATGAAACTTTAAGACCGAAATACTCTAAAAAAATAATATATATTAAAATAACAATTTAATTAAATGTTAGGGTTTTTTTTATCATTGTGCCATTATTTTATAGGTTACTAAACTTTTTAGCCTATAAGATACAATCATTGTTTTTTTCCTAGGATAATTAACTTGTTTGTTTTGTATGGAGAGGAGCTGCAGATAGCCACTCAGGAAGATAATTCAAATAAGGAATGTGGGTCGTCTTCCAAATGCAACAAGTTTTCTGCAGAGCATGAACCTACTAGAATGCCCCCTATTCACCGTTAGTCTCTTTCTCAATTATATATATATATATATATATCATTCAATTTCACTGGACAAAACAAAGTGGATTGCCCTATAACGTTTGATTAAACTATATGACATAAAATGCAGCACCTGAGAAGAGACAACGTGTTCCTTCTGCGTATAACAGGTTCATTAAGTAAGTTTAACCCAAATTTGATGGTTGATCATAATTATCCTGATCTATCTCTCATTTACTTTACTTTTTTCTGGGTTCTTACTGTTTATAGAGAGGAAATCCAAAGGGTCAAGGCTACTAATCCAGACATCAGCCACAAGGAAGCTTTCAGCACAGCAGCAAAAAATGTAAGCATTTTTTTTAACATTTTAAGATATAAAAGATATATGCGTTGTTAATATATTAAGAAAAATTCTAAATCTATACTATTAAAATTCTCGATCTATATGAAAGATAAAAAGTTAATAATTACGAGTGAATTTGCACATCATATACTAATGATGATACTTTTCTATTTTTGGGATGCATTAATTAGTATGGCGTTGTCTTCTTTGTGCTTTCTATGGGAAATATCCGTTGAAATCATAGTATAAAATAACGGTTGCGGCATCTGTCACGGTTGCGGTTGCGGTGTCACGGTTGTAGATGCTGCGGACGTTACATAACGTGTTGCGGCTGTCATGGGCGTGATTTTTAACGTGTTGCGGCTGTCGCGAGCGGTTACGTTGCGTTAATATTACGTCGCGGTGACCTTCAAAATAATTACGATGCGACCGTTACACTGAGTTGCAGCCGTAATTTAATACCATGGTTGAAATATCAGAGATTAGGATTCTGAACCTCAATTTTTATTAAGTTTGTTTAAATTTTAAATATTAAGCCCTAAAAAAATATGTTCAACTTCACTCCTTTTAATATCTAGAAGAAACTATGTTTGGATGAGAGATCTATCGGTTAATCAATTCAAATAAGATATTACAGAGGTTTATGGGTTGATCCTCTCGTTCTAATATTTTCAATTAACAATGTCAAGATTTGAACCTTAATGTTTCTTTAAACTTTTCCAACGAGCTTTTCAGAAGCAAAACCATTGTTTTTTCTAACTTCTTAGTTTGAGTAGATAATCACTTTGTAAAAGTGAAATTTGGCTGAAAATGAGATGTTTGAGATTATTTTTGCATTTTAAATGATTTTTGGGCCAAAAACAGTTCTGTAAATATTCCCAAACGGCCCCTTAGTCTTATTTAAGGGATCTAGTTCTTCATCCTACTAGACTATTGATTGAGTTTTAAAGAAAATTTAATAAAGCATATAGTTGCAGTAATTAACAGCACAAGTACTTTTTTTTTTGGCAGTGGGCACATTTTCCTCACATTCACTTTGGGTTAAAGCCAGATGGAAATAAGCAAGCAAAACCTGACCAGGGATTTGCAGATCAGGCTCCTCAAAATTCTAATGGGTACCACTGAAACACAATGCCATCCCTCTGAGTAGAAGCCACTCATTATCATCATCATCATCATCATCATATCATACGTTTTACTACTAAATGTGTGTTGCTTTTCCACATTTTATCCATTAGACGTAGTTTCTTCCTACTCTTAGTGATTGCATTTATATGTGTTTATTTCGGATCATATTTTCAAGTAAACATTTCCCATGGAATTATTATATTAATTTTGTAGTTTCATTAGTAACAATAATGGCTCTCAACCTTTTATCCCTTTTCTCTTTTCTCTCTTTCTCTTCAGTTTGGACAGCCATCTTCTGCTGTATATAGCTAGCACAATCTAGGACCACTTTACCAATATATGACATTTCATTGATTTGTACAAAGGACAATGAGCTTCCCTCCCACTTACATTTGAGTTCGGATTCATTTATTTTGTATCTCCTCTAGATCTTCTATGTAAGTTACACATCTATTGTCGTTCTTCCGTCTATAGGATTTCGAAGTTTCATATCATCCGGCCGGTTATAATCTCTTGATATGATTAGTGGAAGATCTACATAATCTACCAACTAACTCTATTATCTGATTGTCAGATATATTTACCTGTCAACCGACAAACAATCATCATCATCCTAGGTCTGACACCAATACAAAGAGTTAGTATATAAATCATCACCCAAAGCTGAAGAAATTAAGACACTCTCACGCTCTCTATCATCTTCTTCATATAGTCTCTTTCCTTACCAATCACCGTCTATGACTCTTAGTCCAAACCAAAAGGAATAAACTACCAAAAATCATCACAATCTCGTTTCTCTGATCAACCATTTTAAATACATACTTTTGACTCATCAGCATTTGCAAGAGCGAAAGAGATGAGGATCCAGCAGAAAATAATATGTTAGAACAAACCATGCATTTCAGGTGAATTAGTAAGGAGTTTCATATAGTTACATAATATTTCAATATCATCTATTATGGATTACGAATAGCTTTTAATAATTATGAAGTTTTTTTGGAAAAAAGATAATTAGCAAATATACCCATGGCGTGGACGGATCACATAATGATGCACAATTATTTCGCATGTATTAACTTGTCGTCAGGGATGGAGCCAAAACTAAATATTGACAGGGGTAGAAATATTAGACTATTTAAGAAAAATATAAAGATTTATTAGGTATTTAAACTCAAAATTCAACATGAACAAGCGACCTTAGTGATTAAAGGGATTGTTGTTATCCTTGAGGTCCCGAGTTCAAGCACTACGTATGTAGGGTATGAGCGTTCATTGTCAAATAGTTGAAAGTCTTTGTACATATACTACCTTGTATTCACCTTAAATTTATAATAAAAAACTCAAAATTCACGAGACAACTTCTAATTTATTTAATATTTAAACTTACAATACCTAAATTGTAATTAGACTAAAAATTTGAGAACACGTATTTATCATTCTTTAGTTCGACTACTACTTGATTAAATATTTAATAAAATTTTAATTTTTTTAAATTTAAATATTTATTTTTACCTAAATTAAAATATTATTAAATCAAAATTATATCGAATATATAAATTTTAAACAGAGAGCGAGACCCTTGGACCCTAAGGGAGCACCGTCCCTGCCTGTCATGTTGAGAGCTTAAATCAAATCGTTAAAAAAAAAACATTTGGTCAGACGAACAAAAATGATTTTTTTTCAACGAATTTGATGGCACAGAAATCATGCAGCAGTGTTTATTACAATACATACATTGACGACATTAAAAGCACCACCTTGGGATGCTCAAAAACAAGTGTTTTGCAGTGCTTTGGGGTTTGGCCAACAAAACCCTACAAATATTCCTCAAGGGCCTAATAACCCTATGCTCTTCCTTCACCGTCTCTTACTTGGGGATTTAAATATATAGTTGTGCGATATTGGAATAGCAGTCAATGTAAAGATACTGTCTGAATCTGTTATTACATGATCGTGTTATATGTAACAACACCGGCTATATTCAAAATCACAATAAACAAAACGCAATCACAATTTACCTCCTTTCCCTAAAAGACCCCAACAGCCTTTGAATGAAATCCCTTTCTCCCTTTACTTCATTTTTGTCACCCTTTCTCTCCTTATCGAAAGCTTCAAATCGGATATATTTCATAATCAAATTGAAGACTAAGGAAGCCAAGCAAGAAAAATGGTAATAAAAACCCTAGATGTGTTGTCAACAATGCTAATAGGGCCAGTATAGGATTGGTAAACGTCAATCACTATCTCATAATTAGGTTAAAATGAATCAAACTTAATCAATGCTTAAGTTAGTCATTAATGATTTCGTGTCTTCTCGCTTTCATGTATAACCCTAACTTTTATATATATGTTCATTTAAAAAAAATGAGGATTAAGCCAGAGCAAATGTAGTAAAAAGCAAAACCCTTAGATATGCTTCTGTCAGGCTGAGGTCATGAAAACTATGGCATCAACCAATGAAAGAAACCAAGGTGAAGGAAGCACGAGCATCGTCCATTGTTGATTCCCTCGAAAGAAAGCAAGAAAATGGGGGGTCCCTTTTGCATGGTGCAATCCCCAGTGGAGCAAGAGGAAAAGCAAAAGAGAATGATAATGGTAATGGTAATAGGGGCTGTAAATGAAGGTGGGGTTCATCTGTTGGGAAAGAAGCTAACAGTACAGAATCTGTAATGTCAAATCATGTATTTTGGATGATATAAACGGTTAAAAAAATTATTATTTATCGAAATAACATCTATTCGTCATTATTTATCAAAATATCACCCATTTGGATGTGTTTTACAAAACACGCTTTATGCACATGGCAAAGACGTTTTCTATACGTTTTATGTTGATTTGACAGCACACGTACAAAGCACATTTAATAAAATTCACTTTAAAAGTTTTTGAAGAAAAATAAAATTATAGGGATCAAAGATATAATTTGATACATATTAGCTCCATGAATTAAAAAGACTAATAATGTTAGTTTATATAGGAATAAGTGAAGTGTAAAACTTTATTTGTTAACGATATGAGATAAAAGTTAAAAAGTAGTTCTATATTTTTTCTCATAGAATCTTTAGTTTTTTTATTTTTACTTAATCAATTAAATTTTATTATTAAAATATATATGAAGTAAAATTAAATACTTTAATACTCTAAAATATTAAACAATTAATCTTATAAATTATAAAATAATTTTTTTTTTAAATTATGAAACAATTAAGTGATTTAATAAATTTCAGTTTAAATAAATTTACTTTTGTTAGTATACATCACTTCCTTTAGAAAAAAACCTAATTTTCTCTCATTGTTTTGCCGCTCATCTATTTTCTTTTTCGTCTTTGTTGATCGGCGGCACCAACTTTAATGTTAGTTGTCGACCGTCGACATTCTTTATTATATTTTTCTTCTTTATATCATATCTTTATTTTCTTTTGTTTTTTTATTTTCAAAAAGTCTGCCTGTACTGGACGTTTTATCTGCTTTTATGGAACGTTTTCTTATGCTTTTTGACATGTTTTTCGGTTCTTTGATCATTTTTTTCATTTATTTTTTTCTAAGGGTTGATTTAACATCTCCACGACTGATCAAGATGACACTTATATGATATCTTGTTGATATTCCCTGCTTTGGACCCTCAAATTGGATTTGGATACCCGGTTTACATTCCTGGATAGCTTTTCATGTCGTTCGAGTCTGATTTGCAATTTATCGGTGGTCTTTCAATAGTTTGATCCCTTTTATGGTTCGTTTTTCAATGCGATCATATCTGTTTGTATATATTTTTATTTGAGTTTCTTGGTTAGATTTTGTAACACCCCGAATATTAGTCTAGTAGTTTCGTGTCGGCCCAATAATTTATTAATACATATTTATTATAGCTTGAATGTTTGTTGGTTCGAATTTGAGTTTAATCGGGTAAGAAATTAGCCTTGTAGAAAATAAAAAAGGAGATTTTTAAGCTTAGAAATAATATGGAATGACCTTGAGTGTAATTTTACCATTAAAGAAAAACATGGCTGATTTGGGGTGATTCTTTTCTATTTTAGTCGTGGGTTTTGTGGTGAGCCAAAAAGGGCTCATTTCTTTCTCCCTTTTTCTCTTTTCCCTTTACTTTCTTTCTTCTCTTTCTCTCTACTCAAACAAGAACAAAAGAAAAAGGCTTCACCTTTCTTCATCTCCTTCTTTAATCCAAAAAACTAGAGGTAAGATTCTTAATCTAGTTTTTTAAGCTTCATGAAAAACACCATATTCTCCAATGGTGGTTTTGAGCTTCATAAAGGTTCTAAGGAGGATTTAAGCTCCAAGTGCTTCCTCTAATGTTTCTATTCGATTTACTTATGTTATAGTTGTTATTTAACAACTAGTATCCTTCCTTTTCATGTTGGAATCAAATTATGGCTTTTGGTTGGTGGAAGAATAGTGTAAAAACCCCCTAAAGGCGAGGAGTTGTCAAGGTTGATTTTTGGAGGATCTAGAAATGTATTTGGGTAGCTAGGAATTGAGGTAACACACTATAAATCTTCCTTGCTTCTTGTATGTCATTTAAATGAGTGTACTTGCTTGTATGGGGTAGAAAAAACGTGTAGGGTTTGGGTTATTAATTTGTTATTATAGACGTTTGAAGGTCATTCTAGTGTAAAAATGATGTATAATGACACCTTATAACTTCCATAAGCTTTAATAGACAACTAATACCTTAGAATAAGTGTTTGAAGTGACTTTGAGAGTGTTTTTCAAGCAAAACAATATGGTTATAAGCGATAGTATAGATATTGTTCATGTTCCAGGTGAAAACAAGTTTCAGTATCAATACTGGAGTGCTGATATCGATATCGTCCCCTTGGCATCGATACTGAGGGTTGTAGTATTGATACTGGATGCTCGATATCGAGATTGAGTTTGGTCTAGATACCACTAGTCTCTATATCGAAGATTGAGTATGCGTACCAAAGGCTTGTTTTCAATACCTAAAGTAGTTGAGTGACTTCATGATGTCAAATCGACTCAAGAATGAGGAATTTAATATAGATTAAGATCAATCATCTAGCTCGAGTGTGAGATGTCACTAAAATACCTTTTTGAAATTACCAAATTACCCTTATGGGCCTCTGTAACATCCCAAAATTTGAGCTAGTGACTAAAATGTAAATTTTGGAAACTTTGTGCTTAAATTTGAATAAGTTAAAAGTTTAGGGACTAAGTGAAATATTCTGGTAT